CCTCCCGCTGTATTGAGGAGCTTTGCACACCATCCCCTAGCAGATCAACTTCCTGCCTGTGGTTGTCCTACAGGATTGCACTCTAACCATTGTGTGTTTTTTATTGTAATGTCAACCAGGAAGGTGGGACATCTTAATGTTACCTGTCAGGTAGCAGGGTCCTTAATGGCCAAACTTAATTTTTAAACCACTATACCCAGCAAAGAGCATTGGCTCTCCAGCAAGGTACCCAATATAGTTTGGAAAATGTCTATTTATGTTAATCTTTACAACAATTGAAATTTTAACTGGAGAATTTATTTAATATTCACCTAACAGTTATGATAAGTCAGGTGTAATTATTTCTACTTCTGCATAGGCTGGTCAAAGCGAAATCCTAGTCTAGATTTATGGCGTCATTTATCATTTCTAGCATTAAAGTACAATGTGCATAAAAGATTATTTCCTATAAAGAAAAGTTCTATGCATGATAATTACAAAGTAAAATGATAGTTACAATCAAACTGTTTCCTACGCTTGAAGGGTTTTATATGCAAAACACAAAGAACACAAAACAATTATTGTTACTAATCATCTTCGGTAATTCATTTTACATGCTGGTGCGAATGGACTACTTAAGGCGAGAGGATGAAACTTCAAGCTGGTTTTTTGACACACTTTAACCTTTCAATTTCTATTTAGTTAATCTGGGAGAGATGAAAGGCAATGTCAATAGAATCTTTGACCTTTACAGTAAACGCAAGTTTCTCTCACCAGTAAACAACTTAGCAAATAAGGCTTTTTAGGCTTTACGATGACATGACTTCTGAATATAAATCATCACTTTAAAATACAGATCTTTATGCATTTAAAATGAAAACATTCTTATTGTTCATGCATGAGTTATACTAATGTTTCCATTCTTAAAGAGGAACCTTACTTATATCTTTAAAATAACAAAAAAGAGACCTTTAGAAATATTTAGTAATGACAATCTACAAACACATACTTCTAGATAATTGCCGGCTTTTTATTCTTTGCATACCTTATTTCTCTTTTCTTCCCCAGTATTCTGACAGTGGCTATTTTAACTATGGGCAGATTAATCCATCTTGTTCTAAAAACAAACACAAAGGTAGCGGCAAAGGGGATACATGGTAGAGGTATGTAGGTAGAGATGACTGGCTAGTGAAAGAGTAATAAATGGACTGCCGGATGCATTTTATCTTTTAAAAAAAAACCAATATGGCGGCTTTGTACTATTCCTGCTTAATATTGGTGAGAATCCACAACACTATGCACTGAATAGTAAAGTGGTTGTTGGATAAACAAAGGATTGTTTAAAAGGTCTGATGTTTTGGTACTAAATGGTCAGATCAACATGAACATAATCTATCTTTTTACACTTGGCAATGTTACTCTCAATCAATTTTCAATTACAAAGTTTACTAGTTTCAGTAACTGAATAATAAAAAAATAAATTGGAAATCAAAAATGCCTTTTAGACTCGCAGTAAGGCTGTAATACCCAACCTGCTTTTGATCATTTAGCCACTAGAAGCTAGCAAATCATTGTGGTTAAAATCTCACTGTAAATTACTTTGTGAAGGTCCACCATTATTAGAGTTTATTCACCCACGCAACTTAGTTATATCTGTTTCTGAAACCAAGTGTAAGGAAAGTTCAATTCATTCCAGATCCAATCTGCAGGCTCAAGCACGTACAGTGGCTCAGGACCCTGTGCATGGGTGTGCAGACGTGCATTAGCGTACAGGCGTGCTTGCATTAATGTGCATTGTAAGCCGAGTGTGTGTGTGAATGTGCATGCATGCTCTGTAGAATTGTTGGCACCAAATGGTCTATATGAACTCGAGCATGAAATGGACAGATTGCCGAGTGGTCGTCACCTAGTTATTCATTTCCTGCGACCTGACCTAATGCTGCCTACCCATGTATGACCTTTCCTGCCTTTTAACTTGCCTCTGGATCTCTGCTTACCTGTTGTGACCTCGGCCTGCCTATTGGATTCAGCGTGCTGCCTATTACTTCACTGCCAGGCTGTTACAAACCTCAGCTTGTGCCCCTCACCTGGCTTCTGTTTCATGATTTGGTACCCCACTGCCCAGCTGTTACTGACCTTGGCTTGTTTCTTGGCTACGTTCCTGAAAAATCTGTTCTGGTATTTCCATATTTCTGCGCCAGGTTCCTGTCACACAGTCTACAGTGACCTGGTCCATGGATCTGACTACTCCACAGTACCAGGTACATGACACCATGGGAAAAAATATAGCAGGACTATGCTGTTACAAATTGCACTATGGCAAATTAACATACTTACCTTTTTTCCAGCAGTCTATGGTCTGGTAGCGTCTCAGGTACTCCTCACCCTCTACTTTCTTTAGTGGTGGGGGGATCCTAAAGGCTGTATAGACCGTTTCCATGTGATGACATAGCACTACTCTGCACAATATTTTACTGTCCCATAGTGGGTGGTGGAGCCGTGATGGTCTGCCCTTACAGGTGCACAAAGAACCTAAACAGATAAGCGGTTGGGGTACACATGCACCAGAACAAAGGAAAGAGACCTGGAGTGCACTAAGACAGACTTGACCGTAAGGAAGGGAATAAACACAGAAGCAGAAAAAAACAGTTAGGCAGTGGAACACAGGGAAGACAGAAGGAACCGCATCAAATGCAGAGCACAGGTAAGTTCCTGACATAGACATTATGTTCTCCGTTATATTTTTATTTCAAAGCCTGGAAATGCAAAATGGCTTTTTCATGTGATATTGTTTTATGTTTGGAAAACAAAACTACAGAAAACTAATATAACTGAAAATGAAATCTGAAATATGCCCTCTGCACAATTCACTGTTTTGTAGAGTCAGCTCATGTTACAAAAACTGCTTTAAGTTTTTTGGTGAAACTGCAGCCCCAGGAGTGATTTTCACCCATTAGGGCTAGCAGATTTGCGTCTGTTCATGTTAGTTTACATTCACATACCTTCCCATCTCTCATAAGACAGTTCTGATTTCTTCACCATATCCGGGGTTACATATTGTGCCTTATATGCCCTGCCCTCCTTTGCCCCCCCACGGCTCTGGCTGCTACTTTCAGCTGCACACGTGCTGAAAGTATAATGAAATGTAGAATTTCCTTACAAATGTGTCATTACCACAGCATCCAGCTGTCAATCCTCATGATACTTTCATGTTAAACTGATTGTAGCTCAGCTGAGGCACAGGTGCAAGTAAGGGCAGAGCAAAAGATTCTAGGTATAGCCTTGTTCCCAGTTGCCAAATTGGCACTTGCTCTACACATAAGTACAGCATAATGGCTTGCATCAACGTGCTTTGGGGTTTTGTCGATGGCCAATTGCAGATTTCTTTTCATATCAGTTTAAAGTAGTATTGAACGCTCAAACTTTTTTCATTAAATAATCCAGGTCAGTACATTTAAAGTACCAAGTTACCTAAAAAAAATATGGTCCCTTTGTAACTTCTTGTTTCATCTAAGAAAAACCTTTTCTAGATTGTGTATGGGTTGTTTGATATATCCGAGTGTGACTACCAAATTGATTCACAAACCAATTTTTGTATCACTTTCCAAAATGTATTCATACACATTTGTCCAATCTGTGGAGAATCACACTCTTGCCTGAATTTCTAAGTTGTGTGATTCCTTGAAGGTCAGAGATGTCGGCACGAAAATATTCAGGTGAATTAAAGAAGAAAAAAAAGAATTTAAAAAAATCCAGGAAATTGTGATTTGTGAACAGATTTAGGGGAATCAGAAAAAAATGAACATGCCCTCGTACTGCAAGAGTTAAATGCTTGTTTATTTCTAGGTTACCTGGAAAAAGGACTTTTACTTACGTGATTCCTGCTCCCACAGGCTCCTTCCAGGCTACAAGACTGGCATCGGCAGCATATTCCCCCCTACGCTCTGCCGGTCAGAGGCCCATAGCCCCAGCAAGTACAAGGTAGGGCCTACTGACTTGCATTATACGTGAGGAACAGTCCACAAGCTGGAGCACAAGGCAAACAAGGAGAGTGGGGTAGTAAAACTGCTTTGCCCAGTACTGTAAACCTAAACAAGCATCTAACTCCTGCAATGTGGGGGTAGCCCCACTGCAAGGGAACTTATTCCCTGCAGATAGGCTTTAAAACTGAACTCCAACCAGATATAAAAGACACAATTCAATGCAGCTCTCTATTAACACATTATTAAATGTATTTTTTTAAATGCAAGCAGTGTAAGTACCTGAATTTGACTTATTAGTCATTACTTGTACAGCACTGCTCATACTTCTCTTTTACTGTCCAGTCACAGAACGGGAGAGGGACAAGACCTGTAAATATTCCCTAACTGCAGTAGAGAAAATGTGAGGTCTTCTGCTCTACCAGGAAAACCTTATGCTGTGTGAAAGATCTGTGTAGATCTCAGAACTGGATGGACAGATATCCAAATCCTTTGGCAGGTAAAACAGATCCCATATACAGTATGTGTTTGATCTGTGTATTTAGCTGTTTGCCTGGGGTTCTGCTTTATTTTGATTGATCCTTTAGATTGTAAGCCCTCACGGGCAGGGCCCTACTTATCATCTTGTCTTGAATTGTATTTTAATTGTCATGTCTTCCTTATATTGTAAAGCGCTGCGCAAACTGTTGGCGCTATATAAATCCTGAATAATAATAAAAATAATAATGTTGTGTATGTATCTAACTTACAATAAACTATAGTTTTAATGGCTGTCCTTTAACATCTGCAACCTGTGTAATGAGAATTATTTTTAGGAAAACGTGTCAGTAATGTTATCAATTTAGAGAAGCTCCAATACAGGGCACTTGCCCCTTTCTTGGGAAACTATAAACACTAGCTGTTGCTTCTTAGATTGGAATAAACGGCTCCCAAATTCTATACTAATTGGTCATCTGAGGCCTCTGTAAAAGTATATCAACCAATCATCCAAACAAGATGCAAACCAGCTTTAGAGGAATAGTATAGGAGTATGTAACAGAACGCATAAACTATGGCTACAACTATTTTTTTATTAATTTAGATACAAACATGGGTCCCCAGGATTTCCCTTTATCTGGAAGAACTAGAAGTCCATGGGGGACCTGTTCAGCAAACCGGAATTCGTGGGATAATGCATTGGCCATGTGACTCAGGTCCAGAGGGGTAACATCACTGCAAAAGTTCAATATATTAGAAATGACATCACTGTTTTCTGCTTTGGAGAGAGTGCATGTAGAATACACTAGCGTTCCTCCGGGTCTAAGGGCATTGATTGCAGACCTGTGCAAAATAAGAAACAAAAGCAAAGAATTAAAGTCAGAAACTTAATTTAGTCTTCATATTCTTCTTGTTTAACTTCAATACATTCTAAAATATAAATGTTTTAGCAGCTGGTAATCTTGCATTGTTACACACAAAAAACATTTGGCAGCTAAATATTGTAATGTTAGTGAACAAACAACAGTTATCAAAAGTCATTAGAATTTTTTTGTGTTAGGTCAAACTGCTCAATTATTACATCATATCTTAATACATTCATTAAGCTGAAATATAAGTTACAAACACAAAGAGAAACTGCAGCAAATTAAATCCCTTTTCACCAAACTTGTAGGATTATACTGTCTCCTCCTTTATGGTCTCATTGGGTCCCAAGCCCTACTCCATAGAAGCCATGGTTTCTATACATCGCACTGATGATGGCCAAAAAGCCTGAAACAGCTGTATACAGTTTGGAATAAATGGCTTTATAATATTATGATCTATTTGTCCTATGCACCAGCGGTTCTGGATGTTCATCTTTCCAAATGAGCGTAAAGCAATGATTGCATGGCTCAGCCCATTTTCCTAAAACACAAAATAATCTTAATTTTGGGATATGTAATGGAATGAGACATGTGAATACATTCTGTTCTAAGAAGGAATTACTGTGATATGCCCTGATTTGGTTGAAGGGCTTTCTGAGTCCTTCAGTCCCTTCTCATAACCTGTATGGTTATACTGTCTCAAATAACACAATGTAATGCTTGTTTTGCACATTATTTGGTGGGTTACAAAATCAATGTAGTGTGAAAGAATAAGAAAGTTCAATCTATTATCAGAGATGATTAAATGGAAACATGTGCAATGCAAGTGATGATGTCCCTTTTGAAAACGCTATCTCCCTGGCTGCCATGCTGAATCCAACTTGGCAAGTCATTGTCCTGTATGCAGCCAGTGGAGTCAGAACCCCCCAATTTTTGAGGTTGTTGAGGCTCAGGAACCAATTAACTAGGACAACGTAAAGCAGAACTACATTATGCAGCAATTTTGTTTTCATCCTTATGTGCACCGACTGCTGGGAAGAGTGGCGTGGAGCAAGCACGCATTGCAGTAATGTCCACTGCAGCAGGGACTGACATATTGCTTACATCCTGCCTATCAAAGCTAATACACACAGCAGGGCCTGAATTTTATCAGTACCGAACACTAGATTCCATGTGTTACATCTGTTTGTAGTCCAGATCACACTGCACAGCATAAGACGCCAGTCTGGGATCCCTCTCCATACTCCTAACTGCTCATGTAGAAATGGCTACTACAGCAAATATTATCACAGAGTAAAATAAGAAGAAGCACAGAAAGTCAGTTGTACTTACTGAGAAACAACATTGCATTAAGACATACAGAGCAACACAACAACATACACTGTCAGCTGCAGAGGGCCTCTGGAGTGTGGCACTTCAGTGTTTAAAGAGAGAAGGGGTAGATAACAGATAGCCCTTATCCAGAAACAAAATGTGGTTACCCTTGTGTGCAGTCCAGGTCACACTGCATAGACACTACTCAGAGCAACTTAACAACTGCTGCAAAGGAAGTCCCAGGATTCAGAGTGCACAGAAAAGAGATGTACTGTGCAGCTAACACTTTTTCCTCCAAATTAAACTGGCTCTATGGATGTTGTGTGCACCACATAGGACACAGCAGCAGTGACTGACACCCTCTGTAGCCAGGGGGTATGTCTACAACAGCCAGTGGGTCTTGTGCTGAGCATCTGAGCATCATACATATAGGAAGATGGGACAGAAACAGGTAAATCTGGAGTTCTGCTTTAAATAGTCCACCTAACTTAGTGATATTTAATTTGCTAAAGCACTGTGTACCATAAACTCCCATTTGTTAAATACTGTACAATACTGTCTTCCCCCTTTTTATCCTTTGTAGCATATCAGCACTGCTGATCTCCCACAGCTTTTTAGCATGTACTTCCTGTCTACATGTGCTCTAGTGTTATGCTGCATGGCATTTCTTGATGTGGACAGCACAGGTAACCAGCACTTTCAGGGATATTTGTGGGTATTTAGCTATTTGCCCAGAGTTCAGATACTTACTCATGCTGTCTTTCTGTCCTCTACTTCTATGGAGCTGGATTTTCACACTGAGGTTTGCAAATGGGAGTCAATTTTTAAAGTGTACCCCCACCACCCTACACACCAACCCTTGCCAAAAGACTGTCAACAGCTTGTTTAAAGATACAGGACATATTAAAACCAGTGATCAATACTTCCAGACTAGATCTCAAAGGTGTTTTAAAGCTGAACTCCGGGATAAGCAAATATTGTCCAAATACTTAAGGCATGTGTATTCTTACTTGAACCTTGGCTTGGTTTGTATATTTCTTCCAGATCTGTGCAGTAATTCAGGGTGAAACTTTACCTTGCTGCAGGAGCTTCCCTGGGTGGTTGTGGAATTGCTGGGTTCCTCTCACAGCTCTGCTCTCTGCACAGACTATGTACAGCACACTGATAATGTCACTGCTACTTTAACAAGGTAGTAACATTGTTTACAAAGACATTTGCGCATACATATTGTATTTATGTCCTTTGTGGCTATTGAGGAAGATATTTCAATATAAGTGTTTGTTCCCGGAGTTCAGTTTTAAAGGCTTTCAGGAGGCTGTTAGGAAGTTTGCTGAACTAGGCCTTTAAGAATGGTCAGTTTCCATTTATAAATCTCCCATTTCTTGTCTGATACATGTCGCCCTATGGATTTTATGGTCGATTATATTGTTTTTGTGCCTTCTACAAAGAAGCATGTGAACTGTATGTACCAGGATGGATACTGTTATTACAGTGGAACTGAAATAATTGGAAGGAGACTTAAAAACAATAAGAAACTTGACATAGCTGGGATTTAGCTGAACCTCAGTGTTCAAGGTTATACAGAAACACTATATGAAAGAGCTCTGCTTATTTGAGTTTTCTCCAGAACTACAAGAGGCATTTATTAAGCCTTCTAGCAATCAACTAGGTAGCAGGAAAAGCTTAGTAAAGCTTAGTTTTTAGCTATACCTGGAAATAATATGGTTTTTAAAGGTCAGCTCTCCCTAGAAGTAGAATTTAAAATAAGCCCCCTTCTACGGTACATAAATTAAAATGTGTAGGCACCATTCATTCACCAACTCACAATATATGATCAATTTCACTATTAGCTATTTCTATTATTAATCAATTTGATAAGAGTCCCTGTAAAAGAAAAAAAATCTCAGCCCCTTTAGATTCTAGCAGGCCACTGGCAAAGGATCCATACAGCTCAAAGATCAATCTAGGGATAATATTTATATGAAACAGACTGCTATTGTGTAATGTATTCCTTTATGATAACATGCATTCTTTATAACAAAATTTTAAATTAGGACAACTTTAGGTCTAAAGCCTAAAGACAGCATCCAAACTTGATTCAAACTTAAACTTGCACTGCAGCAATGAAAAGGACCAGCCAGTCATGGCCATAGTGTAAAGCTTTGGCTACCACTGACCTAAGTCTTTAGCTTTGGCTAATCCTGGCCTTAGTCTTTAGCTTTGGCCAACACTGACCTTAGTCTTTAGCTTTGATTAATCCTGCATTAGTCTGTAGCTAATCCTGACCTTAGTCTTTAGCTTTGGCTAATTCTGATCTTAATCTTTATCTTGTTCTCTGGCTAAAGACGAAGGCCAGGAATTGCTGAAATGTGCCTAGCATCAATATCCTTTTTATCTCACATGGTGCAATAAAAGTTAAACAATTGGATCAAGTTTGCATGCTGGCTTCTTTGGGACTTGTAGATGAGGCTGGGCTTGGTGCAATCTCCGTACACCTAAGTGCGCCCAAGCCTGCTTAAAACTCTGACTGCCAGCCCTTCCTCCTGACCCAATTTGTGGCAGAAGTTGTGATGGGGGCATTACCTCCATTCTGTGAAGTATAGCTCAGGAGTAGGGAATGCCTCATCATGCCTGCTGTGCACCACCTGCTGTAGTTCAGTCCTAACATTGCATAAGCCAAGTGATCCGATCAATGCCTTTCTAACTTTAGGTCTAAACCTAACCCAGATCAGAACAACCACATCCATATTAGACCAAAAACTATGCCTACTTTTTCTACACTTCACTTCACTACACTTTTGCTAAACACACCACAAACATCCAGCTCATCGCTGCAAATATGGAGGGCCAAGAACAGGGCTAAATCACATAAGGCAGTGAAGTCACTCGCCGGCGTCAATAGCTCTAGATGTTGTCGGTGAGGGAGAGAATTTACTACCTGTCGCACAGATAAGAGTAAGAGCTGGATGTTGTAGTCACGTGACCTCATAGGTATTTGCAATTTATTAGAAAATGTAGGCATGCAATGGGGAGGCAACATTTAGAATGTAGCTATAGAATATTTTTAAATCCTAAGTGTTGCCTACCTTGCTGTCCTTCCTGTGTGTCTGTGCCCTCACTGTCAATGCTATCTTGTTATGTAATATAAACAAAATGGCCAATTTCTGCTTCCTTTTCCTGGGTGACACCAGCCCTTTTACAGCAGCATGGTTGTCTCCTGGAGGTGCTCATCTCCGCTATAAACCACAACTCAGCGTGGAGGCACACAACTAAACAACGGAAACTCTCATTTGCATACCCCGCTTTTGTTTATGGACAGCCCCATCCCACAACTAGTAGTAGTGAAAAGGCATTGAGATCACTGGGAAATGTAGTTTCTTCTATGTCATGTGTGTAATTTTGAACATGCTCCCATAGCTGCAGCACGGGTGCACAATAGCAGAGCTAAATTAAATAACGTGCATGGATATAAATTTAAAAGGTTGCATTGACAAGATTAAAAGAGATTATTGCAAAAAGTCATGTGTGGTTCCACTATAAGGGATATCTGATTTTTTTTGTACCATTGTTTAGTTCTTCTTTGGTTTATAGTTTCGGCTTTTCTTCTACTTTAAAAACTGTGTGTTGATGTTGGACTTGTTGTTTAACAAGTAAAACACTATA